TATAATAAAGTTAAAGAAAAAATAAATACATACATTTTTTATGTATAAAGAAAAATCTCAAAAGTTAAAAATTTATAACAATTAATTAATTATATAATATGATTATATGATTATTGTTTAAAGTTGAAAACTTTTTTTTATCATTTTTTATATTTTTATTATTTTTATTTCTAATGTAATTATATATGAATTTTAATTTTTATATTTTATTTTTTTTATTTATATTCTTTATAAATTAATTTCAATAAAAATATTTAAGATTTAATTAACAAAGAATATAAATATAAATGAATTTTATTTTGATTAATTTTGAATTATTTACTAATTATTACAATATGAATAATATTTTAATTTTCATTTCAAATGTGAAAAAATAAAAAGAAAATTAAGACGTAATAGAATATGACATATCTTATTATTTTTAAAAGTATTATTATTTTCATACTATTTTAAATAAGTATGTATTGTTATTTGATCAAAATTATAAAAATAATTATGATATGATAAAAAAATAATTACAATATTTGTATCATTTTTATATATTTTATTATGTTATTCTTGTAATTGATAATATTGAATAAAACATGCATATTACAAACGATTTAAGAAAATTATTTTGGATGTATAGTAATTGAAATAGTATATGTAAATGTAGTATACATAATATAAATCTATAATAACATATATAATATTAAATTAATTGTTACTGTTATGTAAATATTATAATATTTATAATACATAATAATAATACATAATAATATTAAAATTACAGTATATATTAAAATAATTTTCTCTAAATTAATATTTAAATTTTATTATTACAGATATTTTATTGGTCTATTTTACTATTTTATAAATCACGTAATTTGTTACGTGAACCAATCTCGGTAATTATTCAATTTGCTGATATCGAGGAAAATGATGTGTGTGTGTATGCGCGCACGCGCGCGTCACAATCAATGATGAAATATTTATTGTCTCATGACAAAAATAAGTTTTTATCATAAATAAAATTTCCTTATTTCTTAAAAACTTAATTCTGAAAATATTGAAAGATTAATTTTTAACATAATACAAACAATTTATTTAATTTTTATTTAAATTTATATATATCGTCCAAAACAAATGAAATTATCAAGAACAAGAAGGATATTGTTAAAAAAATTGTTATCATATCATCAAATATTTTTTTTATGATTCAGATATTATAGAATATATATTTATATATTTACATATATACTGTACAGAGTGAAAATAAAATATTACAAGCCGTTTTTTCAAAAACATAATGCATTTACAATGCATATAATACATACATCGTAATTTTTTGTAAATGAAAATATATTCAATATTTCAATTTTTTTTAAATGACATACTATATATATATGTTTTCCTTTATGTTTTCAATTTGTTTAAAAATTAGCAAAAAAAAATATTAATGATAAATTAATTATATTTAAATCAATTATATATAAGAATTAGTTCGAGATAAGAAATATTTAAAATTAGAATAAAAAAAATGATAAGAATTTAAAAATTATGAATTTATATAGCAATATGTATGTTTTATTCATACTGTTTTTATAAAATAAATAAAAATTTTATACGTAATAAATAATAATAATTTTATTCTTTTCACTTCTTTATTGGGAAACTATTGGGATTTGCATTTTTCATGAAAGATTTTTGTTATTCATATTTTGCTAATTGCGATGTTGATATTTATTCATTATAGATATATATATAGGCTTGAAAATATTTTTTTATGGAAATCAGTTTCTTTATCATATAGAAATTCAGTAAAACAAATAATTTTATATCAAAATAATACATCATAAATTTCTTTAAATGCTTCATATGTTTTTAATTTCTTTTTGTTTTTCAATAATGTCATACTTGTCAGCAAAAATGAAATGAGGTTAGAATTTTTATATCATCATTGTTGACAAAGATGAAATATAATTGAAATTTTTCATAAATTATATAGCAAAGTTACAAATAATAAACATTGTATGTGACTATTTTCATTGTATTATTATATATTATTCGATCATACACTATATTTTTTTTAAGTTGTTTAAATAAAAGGCTTTTATCTGATTACAATAGTTCAAAATGCTGTTTTAATAGTACATCGTTATTATGCTTCATATTATATTAACTTGATCTTCTTATATTTCTTATATTTCTTATATTTCTTATATTCTTATATTTATACGTATATATATACTACATATATCAATCTTGGGGCTCAATATAAATGATTCAAGGTCATATTTATCTTGATTCTATAGTTACGCAATCCTAGATTGGAGTTATTTTATCAAATGATTATTATATGACATCTAAAAGAATGACAAATTTATTTTTTATTATTTATAATAATATGATTATAATTATGTTTAAAATATTAATGTTTACATATATTTGTACAAAATTAAAAGACGCAGATATGTATCAAAATATATATAATATAAAAAATTATATAAGATATATGAAAAAAATATTTATTATTTATTATATTTAATAGATAAAACAAAATTGTATTTAAATTCAATTTTTGCAATTATTATTATTATTTTAATTTTATTATTATTATTATTATTATTATTATCTTTTCATTATTTTCGCATAAATATTAAATATTTTTAATATTTATTTATTAAATTTATATTAGAAACATGTGAATATTATATTCAAATCCATTATATTTATAAAAATTGAATTTATACTTTCATAAAAATTTCAGAATAATATATAACTTTCATGTCTCCATCACCGTGTTTTATTAGATTCGAAATTTTATATAATTCTTCTCTAATGTTTGAAATAAAATATGATATAATATATTCACTAAAATTATAATTATTAAATTCTATTGAAAACAAAAATGCTTATTCATATTAATTAATTATGACAAACAGAATTGAAAATATTTATGTACAATCTTCTACATTATCGACATATAATCAAAAAAATAATAAGACTATATATTTAATAATTAATTCTTCATTTATATCGCCGAATTATGAATTGATGATATTTTAAGTTATATTTTAATTGGTGATATTTTAAGTTATATTTTAATTATTTAGAGATTAATTAATTGTACAGTCAATAATTCTCAAATATTATGTTAAAGTTAGAACCATTAGATATGCGAGATATTCAAATATCTCATTTTAATCATAATATATCGATAAAATTCTAAATCGAAATTAATAAAAAATCTTGGACTAAAATTCTTGTCAATCATTTCTAAATCATTTTCGATAATTCTTTATATACATAATAATATAAAAATTTCAAAATGTAGAATATCACCGATTTGAATGATTTGAAATGAAAACGACTACAATTTAATACTAATAAAACATGATGATCAATATTGCAATTTTTTATCTTATTTCAGGCTGTAAACGGATTGCAACCTAAAGCGATAAGAATGGCAGGTTCTCCAGTATTGGAGAATGAGGATAAAACAGAGATTCTTGATGAACCTCTCTTTAGCACTCTTGATATTATACTTCTCAGTGCTCTTTTATTGGCTGCCCTGTGGTGGTTGATGCGCCGAAACAAACAGGAGGAATATACACCCGTCACAAAATCTTATTCTATTCAGTAATAATTATTTTTTTACTATAAATTATTATAAATGAAATGATTAATTTATCTTTGATGGAAAAATAATCAAATGTATTTTTTCAAAAATGAAACAAATAGTAAATAATATTTATATTTAGATAAATATACAAAAAAAATAAATACAAATATTCTATGATAATAGTAATAATATTTAATATTTTAACGTTTAGAGAATTATAATAAAAATTTATATATTAAAATATAAATTTAGCGATTTATTTTTTATTTAGATATATTGAATAATTTAATAATAATATAATCTTTGTATATACGTATATGTGTATATACGTATGTGTGTGCGTACAATAAATATTTGATTAAAATATTAAATTATTAATATATTAAATTATTAATATATTAAAAATTAGTATTTGTAATATATTTTATTCTAAAATTTACAAAATTTTAAAAGAAAAAACGCTAAAATGAAAAAATATTTTTTGTTGAAGGCCAACAATATTTCCTACAACGCAAACATCAGAAAATTCATTTATAAAAAAATTGAAAACTTCTGGACGAAGTTTAGTAGTATTTTATGGTAGTCAAACTGGAACTGCGGAAGAATTTGCTGGTAGATTAGCCAAGGAAGGAATTCGATACAAAATGAAAGGCATGGTGGCTGATCCAGAAGAATGTGATATGGTACATATACTACATATATACATGTTTATGAAAAAAAAAAAAACAAAACAATGATGTAAATCATTATTTCATTTAAAAACATTTTTTTTTTTAAATTATTAATACGAAAATTATTAATACGAAAATACGATTATTATGAAAAATCGATATTCTAGATAGAATTGTTGAAAGTTTTGAAAAGTACAATGTAATTTCAGACATATATAATAAGAATGAAAAAAAAATTTAAGAATTTCTCATCATATTATTTTATTTATTTATATATCATAATCTTACATAATTATATAATTATAACAGGAAGAATTAATACATCTCAAAACAATACCAAACAGTATGGCAGTATTCTGTTTAGCAACATATGGAGAAGGTGATCCTACAGACAATGCTATGGAATTTATTGATTGGCTAAAAAATGGTGATCCTGATTTAAATGGATTAAATTATGCTGTAAGTACTATTTCTATTATATTTTATATCTATAAAAAGTTGAAGAATTAAAGTATTGTCAAAAAGCAATATGCTATTGTAGATTTAATTGTCATATTAAAATTTTTATATTAAATTTTGTCATATTAAATAACAATAATATAAATAAAAAATAAAATAAATTATTAAATTCTTTGTATTAGGTTTAAATTTAAAAAAATATTACATTTTTTATTTAAATCAAATATATACAAGAACATAAATTGTATTGTTAAAAATTTATAGATTTTATGTATACATGTGTATATATTTCTACTATAGCTTGCTTATGCCTTAAACCGAATATAAATGAACGATTTTTACACGCGATTATATTATCTCTGTTATTTTTAATTGAAAAATAAAAAAGACGGTTGCAGCAATAATTTTTTCGTTCATATACACCTAACCTTAATATACATGCGCACGAATAATACATGTGGGCTTGCAATAACAGTTCAATTCCGAACATTAGAACGTTTATAATTGTAGCAATTGTGATAATATCGTGTCATTCATTAAACTTATGCGATACGATCAATTTTTTTTCAAGATAATAACGAAATGAGAATTTTTTTTTAGCGTAATTATTAATAATGTTAATTTCAATAATGATATTTATGTCTATGTCTAGTTGCAGTAAATCATAAAGAGCGTAAAAAACTTCTTTTTTTTCGAAATCGATATTTCAGAATATACAATATAAAATATCATATCTATATAAAATTATATAAAATATCATATCTATTCCGTAACTTGTGTGTAATATTAGTGCGAAATCATGATGGTAACAATCATGCGCATAGAGCTTCAATTTAAATATTATTAAATAATTTATACTATTATAAATGATATAAATATTTGTCTTTTACTCTGGTAAAAAAAATTTTGATTTATAAAACTATAATAAATATGTAACTATGATAATAGAGATTATAAATCTTACGTAAGCAATTTATAATCATTAAACACGTGACTACTTGTATATTAATTATTAAAACATGATATAAGTGTTTTTATTGTAAAAAATAATTATTGTAATTATTACATAATTGTAAATGTAATAAAAAAATACATATTTTCATCATTTTTAAATCTTAGAAACCTTAAAATATTTGTTAAAAAATATTTAAACAATGAATATAAAAAAGTTTGATAAATTGCTGCGTGTAATGATTAAACATCATAGATACAATAGCGCTATCCAACGGCATTTTACAACATTATTTTTAGCGCCAATATTTGAGGTATATATGATCAAAATTTATATATTTGGATCAATATTTACATTTTTATAAATAATAAATTTTATAAATATTTTATTTAAAATTTTTTGAACTTAACTTATTTTATCAATAATCAATGAAATCAATATATAAAAAATTTATTATATATCATAGTTAATTTAAATTTTTTATTGAATTATTTTTTTTTTGAAAATTGAAATTGTTTTATATATATGAAAAAAAATATATTTACTTATTATATATATGATATTTTTTTTACAGGTATTTGGTCTTGGAAATAAAACATATGAACATTACAATGAAATAGCTTTATATGTTGATCATAGATTAGAACAACTTGGTGCTACTCGTGTCTTTGAACTTGGTTTGGGAGATGATGATGCCAAGTAAGTTTATAGAATTTTATTACATATATTTTCATCATTTTTATTTTGAAATATTCAGTATAAAATAAAAAAAATGTGTTTATTATATTAGTTTGTCAAATATTAAAAATTTAATATAAATGTAAATAATAAAATATTTCATAAAATAAAATATTTATTATATTATATATATAATTATATATTTTATATATTATATATATTATAGTATAGAAGATGATTTTATCACATGGAAAGATAAATTTTGGCCAACAGTTTGTGAATTCTTTGGAATTGAAGGTGCAGGGGAAGATGTTAGTATTAGACAGTACAAATTAACAGAACATGTCGATTTATCAATTGAACGCATTTATACTGGTGAAATAGCTCGTCTTCATTCATTTAAGAATCAGAGAGCGTATGTTTTTTTATTTATTTATATTGGAGTTATATTAAAATATATAAATTATAAAATTCTCTCTGTTTTTATAGACCATTTGATGCAAAAAATCCTTTCCTAGCTCCAGTAAAAATAAATCGTGAACTTCATAGTTCAACTTCAGATAGATCATGTATGCACATAGAATTTGATATAGAAGGATCAAAAATGCGATATGAAACTGGTGATCATTTAGCAGTATATCCTGTAAATAATGCAGAATTAGTAAATAAAATTGGAGAAAAATGTGGTATAAATTTAGATACAGTGTTTACTCTTACAAATACAGATGGTAAATTAAAAATCAATTCAATATCATTATCAATATATTTAACATTAATGTCTTTAATATAAATTATTTTTATTATTACAGAGGAATCTACCAAGAAGCATCCATTTCCTTGTCCATGTTCTTATAGAACTGCTTTGACACATTATTTAGATATTACTAGTAATCCACGTACTCATGTTCTGAAAGAATTAGCAGAATATTGCAATGATCCAAATGATAAAGAAAAATTAAAATTAATGGCATCAACCAGTATGGATGGTAAAGCTGCTTATCAGCAATGGGTAGTTCAAGAAAATAGAAATATTGTACATATTTTAGAAGATATTCCTAGCTTGAAGCCAGACTTGGATCATCTTTGTGAACTTTTACCAAGATTGCAATGCCGATATTATTCAATTTCCTCATCTCCTAAGGTATATTATTTCAATATTTATAATAATTTTTTATTATAATGCAAACTCGAAAAACAAAAAAAATTTGAATAAAATTATATTATATTTAAAAAAATATATATAATATTAAAATAATTAATATATAATATCAATATATATATATATATATATATATATATA